CAGGAAGCTTTAGTTTGATTCAAGACAGAGCCCCCTTTGAGTATCTTTTCCTGTCCCTCTTCCTTCCATTTGATGTATAGCTCCTCAAAACCAGCCCTTACCTTACCCAGGCTAGATAGCCATTCTATTCCCAAAACCAGGTCAGTACCCCCTAATTCCAAGCGGTAGAAATACTCTGATTCCCATGCCCTGAACCCATATTTGTAATTGCTCACATTTCCCTTTATTTACTATTTAATCTTCATTCCCCAATTCAACTTGGAACCCTGGGTTGATTATACGCCAAACCCATCTCCTCCACCAGTTTTTTAGAAATAAAATTGTTGGTAGCACCAAAATCAATAAGAATCAACACTGACCTGTTTATGTTCACACTTCTCACTTGTGCCCTGATCTTGAATGTATTTTCAGTGTTTATCCCTTCCTCACTAAGGATGTGTAACTGCATAGATTTAAGTCCCCCACTTACTGCCTCCTTCACTGCCTCCAATGGTGGTTCCAGCTCTTCTTCAGATTCTTCCAGTTTCCATCAAAATCAGCTGCTAATTCTTCATCTTACATACATGATCCCTATTCCACTTTTCCCCCATTTAAAACACAGTGCCCTATTAGTTCTGTCTTGCAATTCAGCTTGGGAGAGTCTAGGTCCTCCTTTAATCCTTTCCAAGTCTGATCCCCCCCGGGAAACTCCAGTTTTAACTTCTGTTGTCTCTCTCTCCACAATTGGATGTTTATTTTGAACCAATCTCCCTTGGGGTCCTCCTATCTAGTACGACAACTTGGAGGTGTTTGCCCCTTTTTCTTTCCATCCCCTTTTATCTACTTTTCTGATCTGACACCCTTCTAATGCAACATTTTTCTCTTCCACTAGTATAGCTTTGTCCATACTCCATAAGTTCAGTGAGTCCACTGGATTGGTAAAGCTTCAATTCAGCCCTTATCTCCTCCTTGATTCCATTCTTAAATACACCTTTCAACATCTCAGGGTCAGTATTTGTTAATGGAGCCACCACCAATTTAAGTTGGTCTCTGTATTCCATCACAAACTCTGTTTGTTTAATACTCCCTCTGTCCCCCTAATATTGAGACGGAAGAGAGTGGTGTGGTTTTTAGGAAAAGTAGGATTATGTGGTTGATAATGAGTTGATAAAGTGAGAATAAAGTAAGAATGGATTAGAGCCACACAAATGTTATCAAATATGATATGGGACATGTGAACAAGTATTGTTGTATTTCATATACTTGATATTAAAATGCTATACAAAAAGCTATATTTATAGCTATATTTAGAGTACTAGGGTTTCCTATATAAGATATACAAATGGGCTAAGCTCAATACTACTAGGGTTTCCACACTCCCCCTCAAGCTGGAGCATATAAATCATATGTACCAAGCTTGTTACAAATATATCCCACTCTAGGACTTCTAAGGGACTTAGTTAAAATATCTGCAAGATGTTCAGTTGTGTTGACATATTTTGTGATGATATGTCCACTCACGATCTTCTCTCGGATAAAATGACAATCAACTTTAATATGTTTTGTCCTCTCATGATATACCGGATTTGATGCGATGTGCATTGCAGCTTGATTATCACACATGAGTTGAACCGGTTTTGTGTTTCCATATTTTAACTCTTGGAGAACATGTAGGAAGGGCCATTGCACGATATTCTGCTTCAGCACTAGATCTGGCAACCACATCTTGTTTCTTACTTTTCCATGAAATTAAGTTTCCACCAATCAAGATGCAATATCCCGAAGTGGAACGTCTATCCATCGGACATCCGGCCCAGTCTGCATCACAGTATCCCACAATATCATGGTGGCCTCGATCTTCAAACAACAATCCTTGCCCCGAAGTTTTCTTGATGTATCTCAAAACTCGGATAGCTGCATCCCAATGTCCGGTACATGGCTTATCAAGAAACTGACTAAGAACACTTACCGCAAATGAAATATCTGGTCTCATGATGGTAAGATAATTCAATTTGCCGATGAGTCTTCTATATTTTTCCTTGTTGGGCAAAAGATCTCCCTATTCTGATAAGAGTTTAACGTTCGGATCCATTGGTGTATCCACTGGCCTGCAATCTAGCAAACCTGTTTCTTCAAGAATATCCCAGGCATACTTTCTTTGTGAGAGAGCAATTCCATTTTGAGACTGTGCGACCTCAATGCCAAGGAAGTATCTCAACTTTCCCAAGTCTTTTGTTTGAAATTTGCTAAAGAGATGTTGCTTGAGGAGCGCAATTCCTTGATCATAATGACAATGTCATCAACATACATATCAAGATAAATACATTTGTTGCCAGCAGAATGTCGATAGAATATAGAATGATCGACATCACTGCGAATCATGCCAAAGCTGCAGACAATGGCACTAAACCTCCCAAACCATGCACGTGGAGATTGCTTCAAGCCATATAATGAACGACGTAATCTGCACACCATATCAGACTCCCCCTGAGCAACAAATCCAGGTGGTTGCTCCATCTACACTGCCTCGTGCAGATCTCCGTGAAGGAGTGCATTTTTAATATCCAATTGGAACAATGGCCAGTGGCTCATTGCTGCTGTGAAAGTATTGTTGTATCTAGGAATATGCTTTAGGAATATACTCTAGACATTATTATTGTATAGCATCTTATATAGGAATATTCCATCTTTGTAATATATATAGGGCCTTAACCCTCTAATGAAAAACACAAAAAATCCTTCTCTCCATTTTAATATCATTTCAGTTTCTATTTCAACATGGTATCAGAGCCATCCATTTCATTTTTTTTTTCAGATTTCAGTTTAATTATTCATAACACTAACTGATTTCAGTCCAGAACCTTCAGAACCTCTTCCCAGAATTTTTTTCCCGGAACCTCTTCCTAGAAATTTTTCCCAGAACCTCTTCCCAGAATCCCTTTGTTCTCAGAGACTCCATAAATTTATTAGAGCATTTCAGAAACTTCAGAAGTTCAGAGGCTTAAAGCTTTCAGTTCATTCTTTTACAGTTTTCGATCCTTAGAGCTTTCAGCTCTATTGTTATCACCAACACTTTCAGATAGGTTCTTTGCCGCCGGAAACCAAACCCATGAGATCTGGAGAAGAAAATTGATGCCCATACTCCACACGCGCCGTCGGAACTCAAGTCGGAATTTCACGCGCCGGCACGTGACGCTCACTCTTCGTCCAGATTCACGATCGACAACTGCCGACCAGCTGGCCTGCATGTCGCCTATCTTCTGCTATCGCTTCTCTTTGGGATGCTTAGTATTCGTCACAGCTCTTCAATAAGCTGACATCGGAAAGAAAAAGACGGTACCAGGCAAACTAGCGAATTTCAGAAATCTGGGAGCGCAAACTTCTTCCAGCCTGAACTATTTGAAGAGGATTTTTATCCTCAGCCAGATCGCACACTCTCTTCTGGTAAGGACTTCTTTACCAAGCCTCTACTTATTGTGTGAACATGGAGGATAAGACATTAAAAGAAAAGTGAGATTACATTCCTTTGTTTTCCTTGTTTATTTAAAAAAAAAAAAAAATGTCTTGTACGAGTGGATTTGACAGAGGAGTAATATGCAATTAATGTAAGAAGCCCGGACACTTGATCAAAGAATGTAGAAAATTGCTGTTCAAAAATCAAGGAAATCAACTTGCTCATGTTGCTTCCGCTACCAGTTCATCCGATGGATCAATTGCTATTTCTTCAGACGAGTATGCCAAATTTATTTGCTACCAAGAATCTCTAAAGCATTCCTCTGTCCCTATCTCGGTAACCGCTAATTCAGGTATTTCAAACACGTGTCTTGTTTCCTCATCCTCGAAATGGGTCATTGACTCAGGTGCCACAGATCATATGACCGGTAATCCTAGTCTATTCTCGTCATTTCATTCATATTTACCTACTTCTAGTGTCACTTTAGCTGATGGATCTACCTCACCTATTCTTGGATCTGGTACTGTTGTTCCAACTTCTACATTACCATTATCGCCTGTTTTGAGTCTTCCTAATTTTGCATTTAATCTGCTTTCCATCACTCGTACTCTTAATTGTTCTGTAACATTTTTTCCTGGATATTGTGTGTTTCAGGATCTGTTAACGAAGCAGATTATTGGTAAAGGACATGAGTCAGCTGGTCTATATATTTTGGATACATCCATCACCAAAGGTATCTCTTGTCTTGGGGTTGGGACTTTGTTAGATGCTCATTACCGATTAGGACATCCATCTCTCCCATTAATGAAGCAAATAAATCCCCAATTTAATAAGATGACCTCTTTACAATGTGAGTCATGTCAATTTGCGAAACACCATCGTACTAGCTTAGGCCCGCGAGTTAATAAACGAGCAAATGCTCCATTTGACCTTGTTCACTCTGATGTTTGGGGTGCTTGCCCGGTTGTGTCTAAAGCTGGTTTAAAATATTTTGTTACCTTTGTTGATGACTATTCTCGTATGACATGGTTGTATTTCATGAAACATCGATCTGAGTTGTTCACTCATTTTTCTTCCTTTTGTGCTGAAATTAAAACTCAGTTTAACGTTCCTGTTCGGGTGTTAAGAGGAGACAATGCCCAAGAATATCTATCTCCTACATTTAAGTCATTTATGCTTCAACATGGCATTATTCATCAAACTTCATGCGTTGATACACCTCCTCAAAATGGAGTTGCGGAATGAAAGAACCGACATCTGTTAGAAACTACAAGGGCTCTTCTATTCCAAATGAATGTGCCTAAACAGTTTTGGGCAGATGTCGTGTCTACTGCATGTTTTTTGATAAATCGAATGCCATCTTCTGTTTTGAATGGTAAAGCTCCTTATCATTGTCTATTTTCAAACATAGAGCTTTTTCCTATCCCACCTAAAATATTTGGTTGCACTTGTTTTGTTAGAGATGTTAATCCTCATCTAACAAAGTTAGACCCGAAATCATTAAAATGTATTTTCTTGGGTTATTCTCGAGTCCAAAAGGGGTATAGATGTTTTTGTCCGAGTACTGGTCGGTATCTTGTTTCTATTGATGCATCATTTCATGAAAATGCACCTTTTTCATCATCTAAGGCAGATAACCGTGAGAGTAATGATGATATTCTCATTTACACGATGACTATTCCCGAGTCCACACTTTCGACAAATATTCCACAAGTTACTGTTCATGACCCTAAGCCTCCCGTACATTTGGTACACCCGTCGACACAAAGCACCTGATCACCCTCCACTAGCGATACCTGTGATTACTTTTCCTGATACTAGTTCGACTCCGATCTCATGTCCTGAACCAGTACCTGCATCTTCAGATCTTGTCTCCACATCAGATCTTGATCTCCCAATAGCACTACGTAAAGGTACACGGTCTTGTACTCATCCTATTTCTTCATTTGTGTCGTACAATCAGTTATCTCCTGCTTCATGTTCTTTTATTGCTTCCATTGATTCTATTTCTGTTCCCAAATCTGTCAAAGAAGCTTTGTCTTATCCTGAATGGCGTCAAGCCATGGTAAAGGAAATGAATGCTTTAGATCTTAATGGTACGTGGGATTTGGTTGACTTACCTACAGGGAAGGAAATCTATCGGATGTAAGTGGGTCTTTGCTGTTAAGGTTAACCCAGACGGATCTGTTGCTCGGTTGAAAGCCCGATTAGTTGCGAAGGGTTATGCTCAAACCTATGGTGTTGATTATTCTGACACTTTTTCTCCTGTTGCTAAATTAACATCTGTCAGGTTACTTATCTCACTCGTTGCAATTCATGATTGGCACTTACATCAGTTGGACATTAAAAATGCATTTTTGCATGGTGACCTTAAGGAAGAAGTCTATATTGAGCAACCTCCGGGATTTGTTGCTAAGGGGGAGTATGGTAAAGTTTGTCGACTTCGCAAATCTCTTTATGGTCTGAAACAGAGTGCTCGTGCATGGTTTGGGAAATTCAGTCAATCAATTGAACAATTTGGAATGATTAAAGGCAAATCAGACCACTCTGTCTTTTACAAACAAACAGAATCAGGTGTCACATTGCTTGTGGTATATGTTGATGATATTGTGATTACAGGGAGTGATAATGCAGGTATTTTGGCCCTTAAGAATTTTCTGCATAGTCAATTCCAGACGAAAGATCTTGGCTCTTTGAAATACTTTCTGGGAATTGAGGTAACACGAAGTAAGAAAGGCATATCTCTATCTCAACGTAAATATGTACTTGACTTACTAGCTGAGACAGGGAAATTAGGGGCAAAACCAAGTACAACACCCATGGTTCCCAACGTGCAACTCACTCAAGAAGGCGCACCGTTTGAAGACCCAGAAAGATATAGAAGACTGGTTGGAAAGCTTAATTATCTTGCAGTCACCCGTCCAGATATTGCTTATTCTGTGAGTGTAGTGAGTCAATACATGTCATCTTCGACCATTGATCATTGGGCTGCTGTAGAACACATATTATGTTACTCAAAGGGAGCACCAGGACGAGGTATTGTTTATCAAAACCATGATCACATGAGAATAGAATGCTTTGCAGATGCTGATTGGGCCGGTTCTAAAGATGATCGAAGATCTACATCTGGCTATTGTGTCTTTGTTGGTGGTAATCTTGTATCCTGGAAGAGTAAGAAACAGAATGTGGTTTCTCGTTCTAGTGCTGAATCAGAATATCGAGCTATGGCACAATCCGCATGTGAGATAATATGGATACACCATTTATTGAATGAAATTGGATTGAAGACACCAATGCCTGCTCAGTTGTGGTGCGATAACCAAGCTGCTATACACATAGCAAACAACCCTGTATTTCACGAGAGAACAAAGCATATTGAGGTTGATTGCCATTTTATTCGAGAGAAGATACAAAAAGGATTAATCTCTACCGGGTATGTGAAGACTGGAGAACAACTTGGAGATTTATTCACTAAAGCTCTAAATGGGATTCGAGTTGATTACTTATGTAACAAGTTGGGCATGATAAATATCTATGCTCCAACTTGAGGGGGAGTGTGAAAGTATTATTGTATCTAGGAATATGCTTTAGGAATATGCTCTAGAATATGCTTTAGGAATATACTCTAGACATTATTATTGTATAACATCTTATATAGGAATATTCCATCTTTGTAATATATATATAGGGCCTTAACCCTCTAGAAAAACACAAAAAATCCTTCTCTCCATTTTAATATCATTTCAGTTTCTATTTCAACAGCTGCCATGGATGAAACCAAACGAACTAATGCAATCTTCGCTACAGGAGAAAAAGTGTCGGTGTAATCCAAACCATATATCTGAGTGTACCCTTTCGCCACAAGGTGTGCTTTAAAACGATCAATCTCCCCATCAAACTTTAACTGTGTAAATCCACCGACATCCCACCACTGATTTGCCAGTGGGAATGGGGACTAAGTCCCACGTCCCACTAGAATGAAGAGCCTCCATCTCAACCAACATGGCTTTACACCATTCCCAGTGTGCCAGTGCCTCATGTGTGGTTTTAGGAATGCATATATGAGACAGGTGGGAAATAAAAGCACAATAAGCGGTAGAGAGGCGGTGATAACTCAAAAAGTTATATATGGGATGTGGATTCGAAGTAGAACGCGTACCTTTTCGGAGAGCAATGGGCAAATCATCCTGAGTAATTTCGGGTACTGGGGTATATGATGGTGATTGTGCGGGATCCGTCATAGGGGATTCAACCGGCGTGGCCACAATGGGCACAATGGGAGGAGGTCGAGGACGTCGATGGTATACTTGTAATGGACGGTCTGCCATAGGAGAGCAATTTGGGTGCTCATCAGATGGGGGTTAATGGGAGTCTCCAGATGGATGGGTCGGAGATAAGAGGTGAAGTCCAAACATGGTGGGGTATCAACTGAAGATAATGGATAATAAAAGGACGACTCAATGAAAGTGACATCGGCTGAAATAAAATGTTTCTTAATAATGGAGAATAACAACGATATCCCTTTTGGAGTCGCGAATATCCAAGAAAGATACATTTTATTGACCTAGCCGACATTTTAGCTAATCCAGGTGTCGTATCATGGACAAAACGCACACACCCAAACACATGAGGTGGTAATGGAAATAAATCATGAGCAGGAAACAAAATAGAATAGGGAATTTCATTGTTAAGAACCGAGGAAGGCATTCTATTGATTAAATGACACGCAGTGAGCACAACATCTGCCCAATACTGAGGTGGTGTATGGGAATGTAATAATAGGGTACGAGCAGCATCAACCAAGTGTCGGTTCTTGCATTCAGCAACCCCATTTTGTTGAGGCGTGTGAACACAAGAGGATTGGTGAAGCATACCCCGTGACGCCATGAATTGATTAAAGGATGCACCAAAAAATTCTTTAGCATTGTCACTGCGTAAAATTTTGATAGAATGACCAAACTGAGTTTGAACTTCAGCACAAAAAGTTTGAAAAATATGAAACAATTCAAAACACTCTTTCATTAAAAACAACCATGTGTAACGAGAAAAATCATCCACAAAAATAACAAAATAACAGAAACCTAAAGTAGAAGTGACTCGATACGGACCCCATACATCTGTATGAACTAAATCAAACGGTGATGTAGCCCGTTTATTGACTCGCATTGGAAAGGATTTACGAGGTTGTTTTCCAAGGTGACATGACTCACAATCTAAAGATGAAAGATTTGAGAAACCTGGAACCATACGTTGAAACTTTGAGAGACTAGGATGACCCAGACGATTATGTAAGGTAATAGCAGGTTCAACTGAAACACAAACGATTGGATCAAGAGGATGGAGATGATACAGACCTTGAGATTCATGGCCGATGCCAATCGTTTTCCCCGTACAATGGTCCTGCATAATCACAGAATTAGCAGAAAATGTTACAGAACAATTAAGAGCACGTGTAATTTTACTGACAGAGACAAAGTTAAAAGGGGTGTTTGGGACATATAAGACTGAGTCTAATGGTAAGGATGAAAGTGGAAGTGCTTGCCTAATACCCGAAGCCGAAGTTTGAAGGCCATTAGCAAGAGTAATCAAAGGAAGATGTCGGTGCTTGGTAATATGGGATAAACGATGGAGATTACCAGAAATGTGGTCTGAGACACCTGAGTCAATGATCCATGGCCTGTTGTGTTTGAAAAACAAGTGGTAGACATCCCGTGTGTGGATAAATGCATATTAGCCAACTTAAATTGTTGAAATGTTGCATATTCTTCCGGTGATAGAACAATGGGTGATGGTGGTGGCTGAGCAACATGGGCTGAGGGAGGTCTCCCATGTAATTGCCAACACCTGTTTTATGACAAAAATCACATTGAGGACGATTCCATCTTGAGCATCTGGTGTTGTTTCCTCTGTCAGAACTTATAAAAGACATTTTTTTATACTGATTTTTTTTTCTTTTTTTTCTTTTTTATTGAAGATTGAAAAGCTAATATTAGCAAAACAAATGAGAAATAAAAAATAAAAACGTGCTGAGGGTTTCAATGCTTCAAGGCAGTAGAACTCATGGAGAAAGCTGTTATTTGCAGCAGTTTGCAAATAATAGAAAATTTAAAGTAATGGAGCAGTAAGTTCCCAAGACAGCGGTTGGAGTGTGTTGACCAAGACCTTCGCTGGACTGCTGTGAAGATGAACAGTAGAAGCAAATCAGGGAGTATGAAAACCAACCTTTGTTCGGGAGCGACGAAACAAAGCAGCGGCAGAAGCAGTGCGTACGGATGAGCGGTGGTGTGTGGATGACGCTGGATCTGGGAGGCGGCGGCGCGTGGACAGTCGGCGGCGGCGCGTTGACAGTCTGCGGCGGTGCTGCCCTATACCATTCTGGCTGCCGGTTTTGAATAGGTGGGCCGGGACCAGCCCGGGTAGTCACCGGGTCCGGGCCGGGCCTCGGGTCAATTTTTTTTCTTTTTCCTAATTAACCTTCCTCCCACCCCCAACCCCCCAAACCACCCCAAATGGCCCAAAATACCCAGCCTAACCCGAAAAGTTAAAAAAATTGAAAATAAAAACAAAAACCACGGAACCGTGCCTGAACCGGCCTGGCCGGTTCATCTTTTGGGTGACCCGAGCCCGCACCGAGAACCCCCCGGGCCCGGCCTACCCGGACCGGTCACTGGCCGGGCCACCAGGCCGGGCTGGTTCAGCACAGTGCCGGTTCCGGGTCGGGCCACCTGGCCCGAGTCCACCCCTATTCGCCCATCTAAGAATCATCCATAATAATAACTTATTCTGACGCTGATTAGGCTTGTATGCAATTTTCTTGGTTCCTAATATAGTCTCCTAGTGTTCCAAGAAACGGCCTATTGTCTCCAAATCCTCTATAGAAGTTGAATGCAAGGTCATTACTTACACGGTTCAAGACACTCTACATGCGACAATATTTATGCATCATATCTTTTTTCTAATCCGGTTCAACATGCTTGCAACAAACATATTCACATTGATTATCACTTTGCCAAGGAATGGGTCTCATAGTGATTTGATTGTTGAGTATGCCTCTACTCAATTGCACCTGACTAATATATTTACCAAGAGTCTCTTCTCAGAGATTTCATTTTCTTAAGGACAATCTGTACATTATTTCTCATACAAAGATCGAAGGGTGTAATAGTTCACATATATGGGGGCTCTTGTGTAATTGGTAACACTTTACCTATTTTAAATATCTACCTGTTTGGTAAGCCAATTCATTATTATTTCACACAAAACACTTAAGGACTTATTTTAGCTCAAACCAGATCAATGAGATCTTCGACTACATCATACAATACATAAACAAACCAGATCCATCAAGCGTCATATTAAATAACAAAATACAAAATATCAAATCAAAGTATCAGACCATGCTAGACTAGATTAGATAAGACTATTAAGTCTCGGTCCATATGACAAGGCCTAAATAAAAATGTATCAAATTAAAAAAATGTTACTGTTTTTTACTGTTATTAGAACATGATGAGATGTTACTGTTATTAAGAAAATTGAGTTTATGTGGTTGATATTAAATTGATAAAATAAGAATAAAATAAGAATTATTTAGACCTACACAAACTTTACCAAAATTGTTATGAGACCATCTTAGTGAGACATTGAAAAGAAAATACGGAGTATGAGACAATCATTGGGACATGGAGGGATTTTCCTTTAGTAGATTGATTTTATTAGGAGCGGTTTTTAGGAGGTGAAATATATAGTTAGCACCAGGGCCAATTTTTTCGAGGGACCCCCAAAAATAATACGTACTATGTTAGTAGTCATAGGCTTTATTTTACAAATGATGAAATAAAGCATTTTTATTGTACGCTTTAATTATTGATCTTGTTTCGAAGGTTACTAGGAGGACAATCATCCTTAAATTATCGCTCATCCACTATGAAATATTGTTCTAAGATTATCTAATTTTTGTACTTTAACAATATAAGATTTATATTCTCTTGGATAATTTAATATATTTTTATTTTATGAAATTTATATACATTATTATATAATACTACCTTTGTTCCAAAAACTTTGCCACCTTTAAAGCGTTAACCAACTATATATTTTTTATTGGAAATTATTTATAATATAAAAATGATATGAAAATGTTCTTTGCTAAAAGTACTTTCATAAAAATATAAAATTTATAACTTCATAATATTATATTAATCAAGTACTTTGCTAAAATTTTATGAAATGACAGTTTTTTGGGACGTAGGTAATATTGTTTTTACTTTTTTTGGGTTCTCATTCAGATGAAGGCCTCTAAAATCTACGTGACTGACCCTGGATATATGAGTGTAGTAACACGCAGGTTTTGGTATATGCAGGACTGTAGAAGAGGTATTTACAGAGACAAAGTTCAAGATGTTAGGAAAAAGCACGCACACAATAATAGCGCTGCAGCTACTCAATGTGATTTAAGAAAAGCAAATGAGTTTTTCATTAATCTCATGGAATCACATTCGTCCATTACTTTTTTGTCTAGTGCATGTCAAAGTGAAAATGGGAGATTGTTGGAAGAAATAGAAACGTTTTCGAAGTGCCTCATGGTAGATGATTAAGGCCGCTTATAGATTTTGTATAAACATTAAACGTTCTCTATTTTTCATCTTAAGTCTAATGTCATATTTTAACTAGAAAATAGTTATTCAGTTTTTTGAACATTTTACTGAATGAATGCCGAATGCGAATTCTTATCTCGGTTGAGGATCTGTTTGGTGTTAGAATTATACTTCTTCTCATTTCGTATTTTTTTTAATATTTTATTTCGATAATTATATTTGGAAAAAAGATAGACATAATATGGCATATTGACATATTTTAGAAATTTCTCAAATTTGATTAAACATAATGTAAAATTTCAAAACAGTACTATGTTTTTATTCTTTATATGAGAGTAATTTATTGTCACTCAAATTTACTACTATATTTTGACATTATCAAGCTTTAATAAGATGCATAGTACAATTTTGAGTATTTTTCCAAACATAACAATAATCACTCATATTTAGAGACAAAACATAACCCTTCTATTTTGGAGTTCCACACAAAACATAACCCTTCTATTTTAGAGTTCCACATTATTTTGGAATTTCTCTATGTTGTAAGAACCTAGCCGGACCGGCCGGTTCGACCTAGAACACAGTCACCTGTCCATGTAGCCGGTCCGATTGAGCATCAAACTGCAAATCTAGTCAAAACTAGAATTAAGCGTGTTGGGATATTAGGGTCCGGCCCAAACCCAGAGTATCCTTAAGGCCCAAGAGCAAGGACAAACCCAAGGCGGGGCAAGGAGCCTCCGAACGGGCAAACCCAACTGATGTAGAAGTCGTTCGGCATATCCTGAACATGCCTTAATCCACACTTGGTGGATAATCGACATTCCTTTTGATTGATGGCTTAGTGGGTCCCATAACTGATCGAAGAGCTGTACAAGTGATAAAGTGCATTTAATGCTAGAGTATGGAGGCTACAAGTGGCAACATGGGTGCACAAGTGGTAAAGTAAAACAATTTTATGGCCTTGATTATTAAAAACAAAAGATATTCACTATTTACGTAAAGTAATTGATCAATTAGACTATTTGTTTTCATTGTTTGATTTGATAGTAAATGCAGTTATATCTTCTTATGTGTGAGTTATATCTTTATTATGCGTACGTTACATCTTTCTATGCGTAAGTTGCATTTGAGTTTGCATCAACAAGTTATATTTTGCACACATCTACGTTAGATGTTCCATCGACGTGTGTTACATTTTCCATAACATGAATTACATAACAACATAAAGCCTACTATTGAAACAAAAAGAATCATTTTTTTGCTAAAAAAAATATTTTTGGCAAAAAAAGATTTTTTTTGGCAAATAATGATTTTTAAAAACATTTTTACGATCTTAATATTAAAAAAATTTATACACTATTTAAGTTAACCTTTGATATTGAAACAAAAAAATCACTTTTTTGTAAAAATAAATTGAAATTTTTGGCGAAATATTGTTTTTTTGTCAAAAAAATTTTATGACCTTTTTATTAAAAACAAAACATATTCACTATTTACGTAAAGTAATTGAGCAATTAGACTCCTTGTTTTCATTAAAATCAATGTTTTATACCTTATAATCCATATTAGACAAGTTACATTTCAACTTGCTTGCAATTACATTTTCTATAAAGTGAGTTATATTTCTTTACAATAAATTACATCATACAACTACTGGGACTAGGGGTGGACTCGGGTCCGGGCCGGGTCCGGGTCGGGCCTAGGCTCGGGCCGGCCGGCGTTCAGGAATGGTGGACCCGGGATTGGCTCGGTAGCCACCGGGTCCGGTCCGGGCCTCCGGTTTGGATTTTTTTTTTTTGCTTTCCTACCCCCCACCCTCCCAACCCCCCCCCCCCCCAAACCCATCCTACCCATCAAGCCCAACTCAGGTGGAACCCCAAAAATTAAAAAGAAAATAAAAAAAAATCAATTTGGCCCGGGCCCGGGTCCGGGCCGGTTCACCAAATTTGAGACTCGAGCCCGGACCCGCCCTACCTCCCGCGCCTAGGCCCGAACCGGACCCGGACCCGAGAACCGGGCCGGTCCCGGTCCCACACAGTAGCAGGCCGGGCCGGTCCACGGGCCGGGTGGCCCGACCCGAGTCCAACCATAACTGGGACAATGAAGAAAACAAAAATGAAGTTACTATTAACTCACGTGAACAGTAACCCGCTTTCTTTTTGTGTGGGAGCAGCATGTTCGTCCTGGGCTGCTCCCACGATATACCAACTCGTCGAAGTTGGAGGAGCGCTGAAGTGGGTAGAAACACTTAGTCGATGTGTGCTTTCCTATTCTAATATGACGGAGATGTGTGCTTTGGCAGCGGGCCAAACAAACCGAGCTGCAGCGTTGGTTACAAAGATGGGCCTGCATAATCTTTTCAAATGGAGAAGGGGGGAGCAAATGGCTACCGAGATTTAAGGCGTTATTAAGGCTTTATTTGCAAACACTCCTCATAAGTACTTTTGAATTTTTTTGAGTGATTTTTAAAAAATGTTTAATAATAAAAGTTGGTAGTGTTTGAGAAAAAATTGATTTTGAAAAGTAAAAGTTGGTAATGTTTGGTAAAATAAGTGTTTTTTGTGTAATAGAAAAGGTAAAAAATCAGATTCTAGCTATTAGTTTTTAAGTATTAATTTAAGTAAATGAACTAAATTAATGTGCACAGTTCTAATGATGCAACCCATATGTATATGACATGTGCATTTTAGAAGTTCGTATATTGCACTTAATAGTTCAATTATTGCATTTTAGTAGTTTATATGTTGCATTTTATCATCATGACATGTGCATTTTAGAAGTTTGTATATTGAACTTTAGTAAGATGATATGTGCACTTTAATAATTCATAATGCATAGTTATGATATCTAATAGTCTAGGGTTATTTATGCATTTTTACATTACGACTCTATTATAAATAGACTTGTCATAACCCCTTAGCGGGTAACCTATTCCATTATTTCACATGGTATCAAGAGCGTAGAGAAAAACCTGAATAATGTTTTTCGGCCGTATTCCCTTGAGCGCCGTCATGCAACCTTCCTCAGCCATGATTTCAGCTGCCATAACCTCAGCCATGTCTTCCGCACAACCGGCCTCTTCTCCTGCGCACTAACCATTCTTAACCCGGTCGCTCTCCACAGTTGGAGCACCATCATTCTCCATTGGCGCCACCGTGTCCCAGGTGATGCAGCCTGCCACCGCCTCCACGAACGGAAACCCTTCTACCTTCACAACATCGTTCATGACACCGACCACAACTCCAATTCTGTTCTCGTTGTTCGACAATTTGCCGCCCCGGTTCTCTTGGACGCCGCCAACTTCTGCCTCTGCCTTGACGTTGGAACCGCCGCCTCCTATGACCCTAGAGCCACCTCGTCTTGTTAGTGGGACATATTTTGGACCCACGTTTGCTGGCTCACCAAGAGTATCCTCATCCACCATCCCTTCTCAGGTTGGATAGTCTGCCGCCACAAATACCTCTCCCATGGCAGCCTTGGCGCAAAGTATTTCTCACATCTCTACAAATGTCACACATATCGTTACTACAAAGCTTCAAGCGTGGAAGATTATGTTACGTGGCTAGCTCAATTTCAGTCGTTTCTGGTGTCTTCGGGTCTTCTCGGCATGATTGATGGTTCTATTCACGTACCCCCTCTCTATTCATAGACATGCATAATAGACAAATCCCGAATCCTGAGTATTCGTTCTGGTTGCGCATCGATCAAACTATTCGTGCTTGGCTTTTTGCTACCTTGTCTCGAGATATTTTAGTTTATGTTCATGATGTTAAACATTCTGTTGGAATTTGGGATCGTTTAGAATGCCGTTTTATGTCTGCTGGTTTATCCCGCTCTATGGAATTAAAGCGTTTATTGAATCATCTTAAGAATAAACATGATCACTCTAAGGACCAATATTTGCAGGAAGTTAAAACTTTGACAGAAGATCTTGCGACTATTAATTGTCCAGTGTCTCATCGTGATTTACTTCAGTCTATTATTATGGGGTTAGGGCCTGACTATAAATCCCTCATCACTACCGTCTCCTTATTTCCCCAACACTTTCCCTTTGAGACACTTAGGACACATCTTCTTGGGCAAGAACACTGAGTGTTATATCTTAAGCAATAGGACTCTCTTAGCACTCATTAGGCTTTTGGAGCTACTGCTCAGAATGCTCCACGTCCTCCAGCTTATCCGCCCCGTGGGAGAGGGGGTCGTGGTCGTGGTAGGTAGCCGCACCAGCAGCAATACAGACATCAGCCGTATGGACCCTAGCCGTATGGTCATCATCCACAACAGTATCAGCCGGTTCCTACTGCCGGCCCCGACATGCATACAGGGGGTGGCTTTCCTCCCACTTCAGTTTCTTCAGGTATTGTATTAGGTAATTCATTTGTGTCACATTTAAATATTAATGTTTCTCATGTTGGTGTTACTAATGTTGGATATGCAGGCTTCTCGTCAGATTGGGGTATTCTTGGGTCTGTACCACCACCCATAGTTTGTCAAATCTGTTTCTCTGCACGCCACTCTGCTATTTCCTGCCCCCCTTGTTTTACTTAGCCTTCTTCACCGGCCTTGCTAACACCTCAAGGAGATGTTAATCGGGCCCTGTGGAACCCGGATTCCGGTGCTTCCGCTCACATGACTAGTCTGAAGGTATTTTGTTGAATAAATCTACTTATTGTGGCTCTACTCCCGTTAGTGTTGCTAATGGTGTCCAACTTCCTATTCATCATATTGGTGATATTTCCTTACCTTCTTCTGATGGTGCTCTCACTCTAAAATCTGTTTATCATGTGTCTCAGTTAAAATATAATTTAATTTCTATTAACAAGTTGTATGATGATAACAATTGTATTGTTGTTTTTGATAAAAATTCCACCTTTTACCGGTCTGCTTATAATAATCTGATATTTACATAATCTCAGTATAATCCTATCTTTGCACCTCATTTTCTTTCGTTGGACCATGACCGGTTGATAATCTGCTATACCAAGTTTTTTACCCTTTCTTTGAAAACCTTACATAAATAATCTCACTTTTCAAAGATCGGCTCAACCGGTCAGGATCCTACGAAAGGATAGAAAACCCTGGTATATTAGGTCATCAACCGGTCATGGTCCAACTTAAGAAGATGAGACGCAAAAGTAAGATTATTTTGGGATTACGTAAAGGTGAGATTATTAAGA